CCCCCCCCCCCCGGAATTTTTTTTTTTTTAATTTTACTTCATTTAAAGTCGTATTTTTAAATTAAATAAGACGCATCAAGACGATTTTTCAGAGTTGGTTTGAATTTAGACAAAATTCTAAAGATCAATTCTCCCGATTTGAAAATGCACCATAATACAGAATCGCATCAAATACAAAATCGTTTGCAAAAAAAAAAAAAAAAAAAAAAAAAAAAAAAAAAAAAAAAAAAAAAATTCGCTTAAAATAGTGTTACTTTTTTACTTCTCATATATGAGTAAATTTGATGCAAACAGATTTAAATAAATAAGACATATCAAAACATTTACTGGCTTACAAATAATTTTTAGCGGTACTTAGTGCTATTGTATTATTTTAAAACTAATTTTAGAGCCATCTTAGTTAAATTTCTAAGTGAAACACACATCCGTATTTGCATCACAAGAAGAGGATAACCCCTAAACACTTCCAGGTTTAGATTGTAAATCTATCCAAATTATGTCGTTTAACTTCGAGTTCAACATGTTAGTTTCAAAATAAACACGTAAATAATGCTAATATCATTTACTTTTTGCACTGAACCAAATCCCACAAATGAGGAAAGTAAATTCAAACCATAAAGAACAATTTAAAATTTTACTTACCGCGAGAAAGTTCATTAAAATATTGCCTCAAATTCGATTACGGCCTCCAAGAGAAGAAAACGTTTTCCAAAGAGGGAACAGAATCTAAACTCGACTAGAAACACGATTTCTCTACGAAAACTCTTTAGTCGAAATAAGGCAGAAGGGCAGCAGACCAAAGTAGGCCGCGTCAGACTCGCATATCAAATAAAACGAAACGAAACAAAACAAAAGACGAATTCGAGGCCAGCCGCCCGTGACTGTCTACTTCCATTAGGTTCGACAGCAAAAAGGTGTTTGTAGAAGAAACATAACGAAGAAAGGTTAAATAGAGCCAACAGCAGGTGAAAAAGAAAATTAATGCAAAATGCGACCCATCCGGACAAGAATTAGGCGAAAACGTGTGATTGAAGTAAATCAGCGTGTTTGTATTCATTCGGATTGTCCAAAAATACGTAAACAATGTAAGAATGTTACGTTTATAAGAGATTAGTGTTTTTTAAAAGTTCTGACATGCTTAAGAATCAACGTATACGGATTTGCTCTGAGCTAACCTTTGCGTTATCTGATTTCGAATTTGTGTGTTATTTTTAATTTGTACTTATGTGCTAGAAAATATAAGTAACATCTTTTGAATATACATACACACATTATATCAGGGTGTTCAGGATTTCCGGGAAATAAGGCTGGAAATTTAAAGAGATATCGCTTCGCATAAAACTGCTGCTACCGAATGGTAGCTTAAGTGCAGTTTAAAAAATTTAGACTACTCTAGGATTTAGGGGGTCTTCTTTTTTCCCTTAAAAGGTATTCATTTAGTTTTAAAAGCAAGAAAAATACATAAGTATTCAATTGGAGAATTTTTCTGAGCCGTTTGCGGAATTCGTATTGACCAGCCATCGCTGGTATTCGAACTCGGCTCACCTCCTAGGTGAGCGCTGTATCCCCTGAGCCACCAGTGCTCTCCCTAACTTAATTGCAAGTGTTGCAAGTACGGCCGTGCGACACCCTTCATAAAGAATTCTATATGAAGGTTGCCGTACCCTGATGAAGCCTTTAAAGGCTTCATACCGGACCAAAATGTACTTCTGAATAAATACATCATTTTTTTAGAAAAAAAGAACAATTTGGAATTTTTACTCTTATCTTATAGTATAGTCATGACTTAACTGTGTTAAAATATCAAACAGCAATCATCTGTAAAATTTGATCGAAATCAGAAACCCTTAAGATTAAACTTACGTTTAGAGTAATACGACAAATCCCTGAAAATATTAAGGCCAAGCAATGACTTTTTAAACAAAATTATGAAACACGCTTGTCGAAAAATAACTCCATGCCAAAAATATGGCTTTATAATCAATTTTCATTGTTTAATTTAATAACGATCAGAAAAGTTTGAATTATAAGGAATAAGGTCCGGGATAACCTGGTTGGTAGGGCTCTGGACTCGTGTTCGTGAGAATGAAGTCCGAATCCAGCCTGCCGAAGAATCCCCATGTATTAAATGATGACTGGTGCGCGTTAAATCTGCAGGGGTCACAAAGTCCTCCAAGTTCCCAAAACAAATCGATACCTCTGGGATACTGATCCAGGAATTCCCTTGTGTTCTGCATTTTGTTCGAAAATACAAGTGTACGGATTGCAAGACTACAAATTGCGTAATTTTGAACAGCAAAAGAAAATTTAGCACTGCAGTGTTCAAATAGTTTTTGGCAATGAATATTTAAAAAGTGAAAAGTTTTAAATTATTATTTTTAGAAAATTATTTAGAATGATTTAGTTTACATTTTAGATTTCTGTAATTAAAATTACGCAGTTTGAAAAATCATCAATTTGTACACATTAAATTAGTTAATGTTTTCGAATAAGATAATAGAAGATAATAGAAAGATAATAGAAATTAATAAATAACTTTAAAGGTTTTTTTTCAAAGGTATGTTTTTGGATAGAGAAATTTATAATTAAGAGTGAGAAAAAATTTATTCGCTTGAATAGTTTCAGAACGATTAAATATACAAAAACCGAAACTAACATTAAGGGATTCAAACTTTCTAACTAATTAAAAATGATTATTCAAATACGACGTAATGAAGTATATCTCATGGCTATAGTTTGTAGCTATAGATTTAGTGATAATTATAGATAATAGTAATTTTTTCATTTTTTTAAACAAAAATCTCGCCTATCCTGTTCTGAGTGGGCAAAGTTCAGAAAAACTAAGTAGGTTTTTTCAGATTGGATTGTCTTGGAAAAGCCCATCCTTAGACTCTCTTCAGGTGGGTTATTTTAACAAGCATTTTTAAGAATTTTTACATCATTTTGACGAATGCAATTTTATATATCAAAATACAAAACTTGAGCGAAATCGATTGAATAGATCCCGAGAAATCAAATTTTAAAAAAGTCGTATTTTTAAAATTCGATTACTCATGAACTAATAGACTGATCTCGTTAAAATTTCGTATTTTGCCCTTTAAAATGATGTTAAACTTTGTGTAGTACCTTAAAAATCAAAAATTTTTCGACTATTATTAAATAAAAGAATGAAAAATAATAAATATTTACTAAAAGTTTTTTTTCTCCAGCAACTAACTTTGGATAAACGAATTTTATAATTGGGCTTAAGAAAATTTTCAATTCGATCTAAAAATTTCCCGAGAAATGGTGAAATACGCAATGAGTGAAATTAACATTAAGGGATTCAAATTCTGAACGGCTCTCCTGACCAAATTCTTGGAACCATATTTCTCAGATTGCGTCTATCCCCTAAATCTTAGGGGTCAGAAATCCAAATCCGTCTATAAAAAGGTATCTTTATTCAAATTAAGTACGTTTTTGTGTCTGATTTCGTAACTTAAAATATCGTCTGCATTAATTAACATATTTGAGTACACCCCTTCAAACCATGAAGATTGAGATCAAAAGTTATTTTGGGTGGTCCGTTTTTTATTTTGCGCATTGTGCATTATTCAGTGCCTTTTATGAAAAGGGAATACTATTTATGAAAGTGCTTAGAATTTTTTATTGATATCAAAAGTAAAATATTGTCAATAAAATAAATTACTCTTGAAAGCATTTTAAATAATATCTAATACAACGATGGCGAATCTTTCTTGTTTAATGTACCAGTTAAATTACCGTTTATTATTTTGAGGTTATTGTGTCACATGTTATTTTTCTTTTCGATAAGTATTTTGATTTTAAACTATAGATTACATTGCGCGATTATATTTGCAGTTTAATTTATTAAATAGATATTGAATCTTAATTTAATAAATATCTAAAATCTTCAAATAGATATCGAATAAATTATTTTTAAAAAATTATATTTCAGTTTAGCATTAAGCTAAGGTAAAATATTTTAAAGCGGGCACTCTCTGTGACTAGCAATAAAATAAAATCGATGTAATCTATTTTAGTTATTTTTAATTTTTTATAATATGAAAAATTTAATGTATAAATACAACTCAGAGCATATTATTAATTGACTAGATTTTTTCACTGAAGAAATGGTATCCTCTGTTTAACACGCAATAAGATTTAATTTAATAAGACTTTTACTTTTCAAAACACAGTCAAACCCCACTATAGTGAACCTTCGAGGGACAGAAATTTCGGTTCACTATAACCGGGAGCTCACTATATCAGTTCTGCAAACAATTTTAACCAATGGTTCCGAAAATGACATATTTTAATAGATTAATTTTAAATAAATGACCATTAAAATGAAATACAAAAATGACTGAAAAATAATACGTAGTAACAAAAAATGTGTTAACTTGCTTTTATTTCTTATTACTCTTCATCTTATGTAGGAAGAAAAAAAAATTAGTAATCATTAGCTGATGCAGTGAAAAATTTGTCCATACATCTGCCTGGGTTGGCCTTTGCTTAGGGATGGAAAAGTGTGATAAAAGAAGCAAATAAGAGATAATGTTTATCACAACATTCCACTCTATAGATGGTTTTAAAAATAAGTATAAGTATTTTTTTTGAAGCACACATTTCAATAATTATTTTAAGAAAAGTAAAGAAAAAAAGTTCAGTCGAAGACAGAAAAAATTTCACAATATTCAACTTCCTCACTTTTTTAGTTCACTATATCCACAAAAAATAACATTATACTTGTATAGCAAGGTACGGGACCGAACATTTCGTTCACTATATCCGGGAGTTCAGTATAAACCGTGTTCACTATAGCGGGGTTTGACTGTACATTCATTTAAAGTTGTGATCATTTACTACACTATTACATTCAAAATAATCTCATTTAGTGCGACACTTTTGCTTAACTTGTTGCCTTTAACACTCAATAAGATTCACTTAAATTTGATTTTACAGTCAATTAAACAGAAATCATTCTAAAAGCAACTGCTCGCAACCATAGAGATGAAATGGAAGTAGAGTAAGTCGTCTGTTTTATTTCCCCATTTCTCTTCCAACATCATAGTCTTTTCGCTGCTACGTGTTCCCTCTTTTTCGACGAATTTGACGGGGCAGGAAGGCCCTCGCGAGAGATTTGAGATAAGTACTTATAAAAGCAATGAATGGAAATTAAAAGCTTCAGGAACATTAAGATTAGCGAAACAGTTAAATATTAGATCATTTTCCGATTAAAAAATATTTCAGAATTTCAATTTGTTAGTATGCATAAAGTATATAAAACTGTTTGCACTTTAACAAAATTGGGAATAAAAAAGAGTTTCAAAGAGTTCAAAAAACTTTCAATAAATAATATTTCGGTTTGCAGTGTATTTACCACTACAAGTCATACCTTTCATGGATGAAACCTTTTCATAGATGAAAGTTGACATTGTCGACAACAACTCTCTCCACATTGGTGACCCGGACGTGATGTGAACACGCCTACCTTGGCAGAAATGCCCACAACGATTTGAACACGCCTACTTCGATGGATGGTCCATACTGAACAATTGACTTGCTACTTGCGACATTATCTTCCTCACGCTGTTGCTTCTCAGTTTCGATCACACACAACGTAAAACGTATACACTCGACTGCTCAGGGCAACACAGGAACGACCACGACCGTGAACTCAATACAACTCTCACGATCAGTACTCAAAAAGTACGGTGATCACCCGGCTTCTCACAAAACAGCAATGAATCAACTAGTGGCATCCGTTCATCGAATTCTATCACAGATATAATTCTGGTGGGGGAGTACTGTAGTGTATCTACCACTACAAAAATATAATTCCAATTCACTTGTATATAAGACATGTTAACTCGATTCTATGGTGGGGTACCTTTTCATAGATGAAAGTTGACATTGTCGA